TGGAGGCGAGATAAATCTCTTTCCTTAACTCTTAATATTCGCTCCGTAGTGAGACGAAACTGTACGAATATTGAGTCCCAGGATACAACCATGGCAGACGAATCACGCTTCACTCGTGAAACGACCTAACGAACTAAAAAATTACGAAACACTCTCTAGACTTACTTTGGGAGTTTTCTGTTGGATTACTTGCGTGAAAGAGTTGAGAATGAAGAAAGAGGAGAGCTGATATTTAAAGAGAAGACGAGGAGCAACTTCCCGTAACGTGTGCTCGTTAGTGGGGATTTGGCAAAGATCTCGGGAGGTTTAAGTTACGAAAACTTCTCCCCCAAGACTCGCTCTCTCGTTGTTATTAAAATATCTGGCGAGGAATAAACAGCGTGACGTTTTTTTATTTGGTAGACAAACTACTTGTCGTTTTTTAAACAAAATTGCATGCTGTTTTTTGAAGTTTAAATGGCAAGCTTTGAGCTTAATTTGGTCCAAAAAGATAACTTGGCCCTCCAATAAAGCCCGAGCCCGAGCCCGAGCCGGCCGGACGGCGGCGGCGGCGCGCGCGTGGAGCACCTTCTTCTCCTCTGAGCTATTTACACTCTCATAACATGAGAACATATATATATAACTCTCTCTCACTTGTTTTCCCCGATGTGGGACAAGCATCATTCTTGTGCCATATTGAATTGGGCCATTTCTAATTCACGTTTAAATTTACCAAGCCCAAATGGCTTTTAATTATCCAACAGTTACTTGAGAAGCATCAAAGGGTTGTGACCAAGGCCCTAATCTCCACACATCTTGCGCAAAAGAGCATTGAAACATGAGATGTAGAGTTGTCTCGGGTTCACCACATCTGCAGCAGTTCGTATTGGCAAGGATACCACACCTTTGGAGGTTTTCAATTAATATTGTGGGTGCACAGACCCTCATATACAGTATATAAATGTAGTTGTGGTCTAATATGCATGTATCTCAATATATCTATAAATTAATTTTTGACAAAAAATCTATAAATTAATTTTTGACAAAAATATACTATTATCGATTACATCACTTCTCAGATAGTCATAGGCAAGATCCACATGGAAAATATATAATCACTGTTAGTTTTGACCCAAAAAAAAACAATCGCTGTTATTATTATCAAATCAAAGAAGTGGTCGTCCCAGGAAACATCACCATGCCTTGTAATGATGCTCAAATATTGAGCTGCACTTACTTCCATGCACGCCAGCTATTATTCATGTGTTCATATTCGTATTAAAATATATTAGGTCTAATATGTCTGCGTCCCAACTCGTCTATATATAGACGTTTGGCAAAAAGAAGAGAGCATAACGAAACCAACAAACACATAACTGAAGCATGGACCTCAAGCTCAAGCTCAGGCCAAACTTTTTTTTCTCCTTTCTGATTTTCATCTTTCTTTTCCAAAAACCCGATTTGGGATCAGCATCTGGTCCTAAATGTATATCCACAGAGCGCCAAGCTCTTCTCACCTTCAAACAATCACTTACCGATCCTTCTGGTCGACTCTCTTCTTGGTCCGGACTTGACTGCTGCAAATGGCGCGGTGTTGGCTGCGACCGCAGAACCAGCCACGTCATCAAGATTGATCTCAGAAACCCAAATCAAACACTTAGGCCCTATGACCATTGGGAGGTGTATGATATGGGTGGCTTGGGGGGTAAGATAAATCCGTCTTTGACCCGTCTCAAGTTCTTGAGTTATTTGGACCTGAGTTCAAATGATTTCAACTTCACGGCCATTCCCGATTTTATCGGCCAGATGGTTAGTCTAAGGTACCTGAATCTTTCATCCTCAACGTTTTTGGGCGAAGTTCCTGGGAGTCTTGGAAATTTGTCGAAGCTCGAGATTCTTGATCTGTACGCTCAGACTTTTAGTAGCGATGGTCCAAATTCCTATACTTTATATACTTTGGAGGCAACCAACCTCGGGTGGCTTTCGGGTCTGTCTTCTTCACTGACTTACCTCAACATGGGGTATGTGAGTATGCGCCGTGTCGGTGAAACTTGGTTAGAGGAATTCAGCAAACTCACGAAGCTGAAGGAGTTGCATTTGTTCAACTGTGAGCTCAACAAATTACCTCTCTCTTTGCCTTCCTCTGCCAATCTGAAGCACCTTGAAGTTCTTGATTTGTCTCGAAACCCTCTCAGTTCGCCAATACCCAACTGGCTATATGATCTCACCAACCTCAGAAAGCTATACCTCCAAGAGGATAATCTCGAGGGCTTGAGTCCTTCCGGATTCAAGAAGCTGAAGCTTCTAAATACGCTAGATCTATCTAATAATGGATTCTCGGGAGAACTTCCAGTGGTCTTTGGAGATCTTTCTCAACTGAAGTATCTTGACCTTTCTTTTAACTCTTTCCAAGGTCAAGTTCACAAGTTTCTTGACGCCTTGTCCAATAACAAAGGAAACAGCTTGGTCTCTCTCCATCTCTATTCCAACAATTTAAATGGAACATTGCCTGAGTCGCTTGGAGCGTTGAGGAATCTACAGATTCTGGATCTTTCAGAGAATTCCTTCACGGGTTCGATCCCTTCCTTGGTGGGAAACATGGCGTCACTGAAGGAACTTTATCTTTCTCGCAATTCCATGAAGGGGAAAATCCCACAAAGCGTGGGGAAGCTTCAACGCTTGGAGACGCTTCATCTATCTTTTAACATGTTTTCTGGTGCCATTCCACAAAGCTTGGGTGCGATATCTACACTGGAAACACTTGCTCTTTCGTATAATAATCTGGAGGGGAGGATACCTACGAATCTGAAGTTTAAAGATCCCTACATTTACTTTGGAAATGAGTTACTCTGTGGGAAACCACTTCCTAAAAAGTGTCCAAGGAAGCAGGAGACTGTTATAGTCAATTAAGAAGCACCTTACAAAGACAATGTATCTGTTTACTTTCCAATATATTAATAATAAAGGTTTCAGCTATACGCTGAAGATTGTTGTAACCACCTATATGAGATAGTTTTGTCTGTTTGAGTCACGACTTCTAAATTCTACAAAGAGATTATTTTCATTGTATTCAGAAAGAAGATGCATAATGCATATGCAGGTCCCCACATAATGTTTAAAAAACAGCTAGGCATATATCAGTGAAAACATAGGCTCCATATGCAACAACGTCCAGTAACGTAACGGTACCTCTCCATTACCAACCAACCAAACCAAGAGGCAGCTCCAACGAGTGGATTCCCAAACAAAAGCAAAAAAAAAAAAAGCAAGGCAAGGCAACTCTTTTTGTTTTAATAACACTAGGAAGGCAACTCATTTCTTCAATTCTAAGTTCGATACTCATCAATTATCATCAAAATCATAATGCAAATAAAACTTAGCAACCTTTATCTAAATCAATTGAAAGAGATCACGCCATGGCACAAGAAAGATTCAATCTCTAATCGAGAAACACCTAAATCACATGGAAATGAAAAAAACACCTAAATCAGATCGAAATGAAACAGTACCTACCTTGGGAATCACTTCCTCTTCTTCTCTTGTATCAAATTCCAGTTCTACCCTGTGAATTATGAACTATTTCAAAGTGAACTTCTTTTACTTGCTAACGAAATATACCTTTACATTTTAATTTTACCATAAGGGTTTAGGAGGCTTCTCAATCGCGACAAATATCTTTCCAATGGGATGTGCATGCATGCTTTTTAGTAAGGTTTGGGGATTTGTACTCTATTCATGATGCTATACTTTTTCTAGCTTGTTCTCACGCACCATTCGATATGGCTCACCAATCACCAGAAAATCGTGCCTAGATCTTAATAAGTGTAAGAACAGCAAATAAATGCAAGTCTAAAGTTCTCTTCCTTCGAATAAAAACCACTCTTAATGTTATTATTATGCTTACTTGCTTTTTTGATTACCTGCTTCTTTCTGGTACATGTTTAAACCTACAAAGGTGAAGACATATAAAGTTGATACCTTTTTGAATACACATAAAGAAAAAGCTTTTCACAAGTATTTCTGTTCTTTTTTTTTATTGTGCACCATACTCTTATTAAAACATGTGTTGGGGTCAAAATCAGTCACGACGGAATCAATGGCTAAAAGTCCCGAAAAAGCGTACAAGAAACTATAGACTCTCTACGGAGATATGAAGTTACGGAAAACTCGTATCAAAGTATGAAATAATCAAAAATATCTCCTTGTTTATTGGGGTCAAAAACCGTAACCTCGAAATCAACGTCTACGATTACTTCTCCTTATATTCTCCGAAAGGTTCCCGGGTCGAGAAAACGAGAGAAGATCGAAACCGAACAACCATCCAGCTCGCCAACAGGCGAGCTGAACAGCCTTGTCCAGCTCGCAAACATGCGAGCTGGCCTTGCTTGACCAGCTCGCCAACCGTGATCGTAACGTCTCGATCCGCTGTGAGGGATAAAACTCACTTTCTAATTTAGGTTAGGTTAAGATTGGGGAGAAGACAATCGTGGGCTGAATCCTTTAAGAACTTAGAGAATGAATTATGATTGTATTGATGAATAAGGGTTACAAAGATGATTATGATGAATACAAAGAATATAACCGAATGATTTGAGAGTTACAATGTGTGTGTAAATTTGTAAAAAGCGTGAATGAATCCAGAGAGAGAGAGAGAGAGAGAGAGACTTTCTCTGATCTCCTCCTTCTCCTTAAATAGCTCTCAGCCACATTTGAAGGATCCTAACCAGCCTCCGAGATTTGCTCCGTGAGTTGGGGGATTCTCAACAGTCTCCTTTTGACCGAGTCCTGCGCAACCAGCCTGAGCTACTCCTGTTAGCTCCTTGTAAATGAGGTCCGGAGCTCTCCTCCGTGACCTGTTTATAGATGAGGTCCGGAGCTCTCCTCCGTGACCTGTTTATAGATGAGGTCCGGAGCTCTCCTCCGTGACCTGTTTATAGATGAGGTCCGGAGCTCTCCTCCGTGACCTGTTTTGTTGACGTTTCTTCCTTAGCAAAAACAGCCTCCGGCTTCTTTTTGACTCTTTTCTCAAAAGATTATATGCCAATGGGCTTACAGTGGCCCATAGTCAACTCTTATCGTTCTAGCCCATTAGTCTCAGCTAGCGGGCCATATTTGGGCTCAACAGTTGCCCCCAGCTTTCGAGATGAGACCTCTTTTCTCGGAAGCTAAAGCTCAACCGCCTGATCTCTATCTCTTTGTTGAGATAGCGACTATGTCTTCGTGTTCCCAAGACTTCT